ATATAAATTTTTTCAGAAGAAATACACAATTATTAATTAAAAGAAATTATTACATGTTTGCTGCCATTAAACCCATCTTGCATGTAGAGAGACGAACAAGATCCTGATGAATTATTTGCATTGAAGGCACTACTACTACTGCTAGGCTGTTCAGCTGTTGAAGACCAAACATTTGAAGGACAATTTTGACCATCTAATAAATTAACCTTTAAACATAAATAAATAAAATAAATTAAAATTAAATATTTTCAATCCAACCTTTCCTTAATATAATCAAATTTTTATAGAGAAATAATGTTTAGATATGAAAAATGCTTAAATAGTTCAGTTTATTTAGTAAATTTCAACATTAAAATTTCATAATTTTTTATTACTATAATGTAAAAAGTTGTAATTTATAAAAATAATTATAAATTTTTTTAAAAATGTCTAAACATAAGATATCATCTCTTGAAAACAGATTTAAAAATAAAATACAGATGAACTATTCACACTACTTATTAATTTTGTAACTTATTTTATGACAATTTGAATTTCTTTTTGTTTGTCTGATCATATGTATAGAAAATTTTCTACATATGATTATCTTTCTATTTTTTCTATTATTTTTTCATATGTTCAAAAATTATTTGAATGGCTCAATCAAATCTATAAAATTTCTTCTTTATCAACATTCTTGCAATATCTGAATATGTTTAATTCTAAAATAAAACTGAAATCACTTTACATTTTTCACATTAATCATAACATTGTATAATCCACAATTAATTTTTAAAATTCTATTATTAATAAAATGCCAGTTTAATTGATAATTTGTCAAAATGTAATAATATGGCAAAAATTAAGAAAACCACACACACTTACATTTAACCCTGATAAAGCTGATGTTTTCATCATTAAATCCTTAAAAAAATTGAATAATTTTATAATTATTCTAACTTTCAAATGTTATTTTTTATTTTAATATTAAAATACTGATATTTAAATAATTTTATCTTAATCATTACAGTGCTAATAGCATAAAATTTTTAAATAAATTAGAAGTTTTCAGTGATAAAAAAAATTATATTACCATAGATAGAAGTTTTAGATAAACTTTAACAAAATGGCATAAATATATTTTTGGCTACAGAAATACAGTAAAGCATCGATTATCCGAATTCCGATGAACTGAAACATTGGTTAACCAAAAGCATTCCAATCAGCAAATTAAATTTCCGCTAGTGCTGTGGTGCTGCAATATTTGGCTATGTCTTGGGCTACTCCAATATTATTTTTGTTGGTGTACATGTTTTAGCTGGCAGCACTGACGAAACCACGAGAGAGTACTTAAGGATGCGCAAGTATTTGAACAAGGCTTTTTTTCCATCATGAGTGGTGAGTTTTGCTTTTTTTCTGTGTGGTGTTTTCTGAGGACTGTGTGTTGTGCTGAATCGGAATGTTTTTGATACTAGATTAACTTCCAAAATATAATTTTTTTGTTTTATATTTTTCAATATATTTATTTTGTTTGTGCAAAATAAAGAAATAATTTTTAACAATGCAATAGCCACAATTATTATTTTTAAAAAATTTTCGTTAGGCTTAACATCAACACAAAGCAACACACAATGGAGAAAAATTTCAACATGGGATAGGTTAATATATTTTTTCGTACATGATCAATTATCCAAACAATCCTAGTCCCAAATTGTTTTGGATAATCAATGCTCTACTGTGCAATTAAACATATAATAATTCATAATCCAATTTTAATAATGAAATGTATCTAAAAGCGGAATTATTTTCAATATAGAATTAAGCAAATAATAATCAAATTATGGGATTTTTTATGGGATTCTATTTACACAAAATCCATGTGATACACATGGGAAATTATTAGTAATTTGGGTAAAAGCTTATTATTATTAACTTGAATTTTCTTATAAAATGAAACTGGTGAAAACTTTATTCCAGTCTTAATAAGAAGCAACCAAAGAAATGAAAATAAAGTAATCTAATTTCATTGTATAAAAGAGAAATTTAGATATAAACAACCCAATATTTAATATAGCTCCTTTATATATTTTTAATTCATTATTTAAAACCTTGGCAGTAGAAATTCTTCCTAAAAACAATTTTTTTTTTTTTTTTGATTTATCCAAAAATAAAATTTGCTCCAAACAGAATTTAAGTTATATGTCTCTAAAAGAAAATTTAACTCATAGAAAGATATTACTTAGCAAGGAAAAAATATATATATACAATTTATTGTGACATCATCACAATGCCAGGCTGTAATTTTTAATCATATTTTTCATTTATTTAATTTAAAATATATGCTCTCCACCTCAAGTTAGTAGTGGTTTGCCCCTCCTGTACATCATTAACAACAGAGTCATGCCAGTCATCTATCTAACACCTTTTGGGGAAAAATTTTTTAACTGAAATAAGACAACTTCCAGTTTGCAATGAAAGTTCATATATAATTAATCAGGGCCTCCTGCTTCTAAGGTTTCCAAATCTGGTCTCATCTTTCATCTATAACTACAATCTCAAGATTAAGGAAAGATAGATAGATGGATGACAGTGGAAATTTATAGGTCTACAATCTTATCAAATTGCAGCCCATAATACACATTTGAGTAAAACCTTATTAATCAAACTTAATAATTCAGAGTGTGCTTTTTCTCAATTAATATGAATTAATGAGGTTCTACAGTATTAAAATTAAACCATTATTAAAAGTACCTATAAAACAGTTAAGCCTCTGGTAATAAAACCTTTTGAAAATACAGAAAAACATTTAATTTTATTATCTAAGTTTAAAAATATTTTCCAAGATGTGTATACAGTCAATTCTTGTTAACTGCAAAAATTACATTTCTGGAAAAACACTAATAACAGAAATCACAGCTATTAAAGCACTGATCCAACAGGAAAAATGTGAGTTAGGTTCCTAAATTTCTAGAATGAAGCAAATGAAGAATACAAATCCCATCCATTAAGCTCATTACAGAATGTCTGATTAAAAGCACTTGGTAGAACACTAATTAGCACTATGCTTCATTACCATTATTGAAATTTAATAAATTAATCACAACAGCATAAAACTAGAAGAACAAGACCCATAGCTTCCCTTAATAGAGAGCTCATGTTTTTGACACTGTAATATGCCTCCCAGAACTTTTTGCTGCTATGCATGGCTGCAAATGGACTTAGAGAGACCATGTGTTATCAAAATAGGTTACACTTTTGTAGAAGTAAATAAGTGAATCCATGGGATCAGAAACAGAAGATAAGATTTTAATATAAATCATCATTCTATGAATCCTTGTTCTATGATGAATCCTTATACATTAATTTTAATTTGTTCCAATAAAATTTGTCTTATTGGAAAAAATTAAATGTTAATGCAATAAGACAAATTTTATTGCATTAACATTTAATCCATTAAGTTATTAACAAAAATCGAAATCAGATAAAATTTAGAATGTAAAAACTTAACAAAAGCATAATGAAGAGTATGTTTGTTAAAGTACAACAGTTTATAGTATTAACAGAAAAAAAATGTGAATGAAATATAAAATCAATTTGATAATTTTAGCATGAAAAATTTGAACATAATTAAGAAAACTGTAATAGAGTAATTTCTACTTACTTCCACTTGTTTTGTATCTTCATCTATAACATCTAGCTCTTGTGAAAGTCTGTCCAATTGCTACAGAAGAATTGCAATATTAAGGTGATGATATCAAAAATAACATTTNAAAAATAAGTTATCTGAACAACCCCATTCCCCAATTGATTCAGATAAACGACGCTCTACTGTATTAATAATTTTTAAATTTATAACCAAATATGAGATTCATAACTTATAAACAGGTATTTTTAGTGGTTTTAAATATGAAATCTAAGTATGGTTTTCTTATCAAAATTGTGGTTTATGGGAACATTGTAGCAGTTTTCAGTTTCAACATAGTTTACACATGCAACTTAGTGATGGTTCTTCTAGATCTGCACCCAAAGGAGCCTAAGTAAAAAATTTAAAATATTTAACATGACAAATATAGGACATATACAGAAGGCCTATAATAGTGCATCAAACCAAGCTTGTATTGGGCTCCTGAGATTTTCCTATCTCTCTCTATATTCTGAGAGTACCACAGATGTGATATTAAATGAGTTTGACTGTATGAATAAATCACTTTTACATGCTGATTTCAGAAAATTCAAAAACTTTCAGAAAATGAAAACTTTCTGAAGTGAAACTAAAATTAAATGATCTCTAAATTTCATGGTTAATTTTCTAATGAAACTATTAACATTAAATTTTACACAAATAAAAAGGCATTTTAATAGCNCATAATTAAGAAAACTGTAATAGAGTAATTTCTACTTACTTCCACTTGTTTTGTATCTTCATCTATAACATCTAGCTCTTGTGAAAGTCTGTCCAATTGCTACAGAAGAATTGCAATATTAAGGTGATGATATCAAAAATAACATTTTAAAAAATATATTCCATTGACACACACACACACACACACAAAGCTAAAACAAAGTATTATGAAATATCTATGAATTTCAAATTTTCCAAACAATTACATTTTTATTGAAATATTTAAACTTTCAGAAAATGAAAACTTGCTGAAGTGAAAACTAAAATTAAATGATCTCTAAATTTCATGGTTAATTTTATAATGAAACTATTAACATTAAATTTTACACATTTAAATAAAAGGCATTTTAATATACATGATATAGACGATTTTAATACAAAAAAATAAATGTAACTACGTAAAATATATCTAGTGAGAAAGTATTAAAACCTGTTCAAAATGGAAATTTGCCAAAACAGAAAAATATTTCAGTACCAAGTGATTCCAGGTTTCACTGTTTTTGAACATAACATATCAAGTAAAATCAAATATTCAAAGACAAATTATACAATAGTTACAATCTTTATACATGAAATATTTTAAACTATAAACAATTTCAACATAGTTATAATTCATTACCTGAAACAGCCTAACTCTTTGACCTGTAAATGCATCCCACACCGTTACTGTTCCCTCATAATCACTGCTTGCTAACATTCCTTTATGGTATGAACTCCAACTAATACAAATTTAAAGCTTAACAATCAACTACAAAACCTGAAATTTATGAAANGTTGAGATCTCCTGCTCTAAAATGGTTTAATCTTCATTTTAAAAAATTAAGAAATTATTTGAGGGAAAAATGGAAAATATCAGGCAATCCTAGAGACATATTTATACTGAATCATCCAAAAATAGTTCCATCAGGAATATAACCTTTCATTTCAAAGTTATTTTAACAATTTTAACAAAACAGTTTCATCCTTTGCATCAGATCCTCAATTTTTGGAATTTTGTTCCTAGTTTTTCTGAAAAAATTCCCTCCAAACCCTGTTATTCCAGATGAATCTTTATGAAATATACAATGACTTTAAAACACAGATTTTGCCATTTACAATCCAAAACCAATTTCAAACCTCTATTCTTCCACACCTTTACTTATCATCACTCCTTTTCTTTTTCTGAAGGTATTAAAGCTATTGATTCCCTAAATACTATCTTTACCCCAGATCATATCCCAGCAGTTTTATATAAAAACTAAAATCTACATCTGCTTTCTTTCCAGGGTCTTCTCAAAAATAGCTCAATCTAGCTTCATTCCTAAACAGTGGCTCACCCTTACATTAATGCTATTCAAAAAAAAAAAGTTTTTTTTTGACTAATCACTTTCTTCAGCTGTGTTAAAAGTTTTTTTGAAATTTGAAATATATTATTTATCATAATATATATAATCCAATTTCTTCAAAACTTCTCCCAATTCAACACTGTGCTACCTGTTTCTCTTCTATCACAACTAATGTATTAGAAACTATTTATTGAATCCTCCAAAATTTTGAACATAAATGTCCCATTTTTGTTATATACACAGATCTCTCTCAGGCTTTTGACTCCATTTGTCCCAATCTACTACTAACCTTACTAAGAGAACAATTCAATTTAGATTGAGTATATCATTCTTAGTTAAACAACTACTTCCTTGCTTGATCTAGTAAAATAAAAATAGGCAATTTTGAATTCTGTGACTTCCATCTGATCTGAGGCATCCAGCAAGGATCAATCATAAGCAGCCTCTTTTNTTACAGAAACAAGTTTTACTAATTAGAACTTTCTCTCTGACACCAGACAATATGTTAAATAAATAATTATATTATATTAAAACTTCAAAAATTTTATAACGTACCAGAAGAAGTTGGACCCAATTCTTTGGCACGTGCATTAAGGTAACACTGTTCTAAATCATCAAAATGTGTGTACATTTTTTTCCGTCTAGTAGCCATGGTAGATATTAACCATTGCTGACGGGCTCCCTAGAAAATAATTGAATAATTAATTAAATATGAATTTATAAAACAATAATTTTAACAATTATAAACAAATTTTAAAATCATACAAAATTATTTAATCTATGTTAAAAAATTAAAATTAATGTATTTATAAATACAGTTGTCCCTCTGTAGTCCGCATATGTTTAGATTAAATATGTAAAGGGTGAGAATATTTGCAAATTATAAAATATTTGGAGAATTTACAATATCTACCTTATTTTGGAATTGCACACCATTTCATTCACTGGATAATGCATATCTACAGTATCACGAATCACAGCTCCATATTCAAAAACCTATGTTTAGAGTTCAAACCTCATATACCTAAGTTTAGAGTTCAAACTTTTTTCATTTTTAAAGTTTCAAATATCTTACGAAATAAACAATAAATCCTACCTTGATTTTCTTGGTGACACCAGCTATTGCAAAAAATTCATTGTCTTTGTCAAATTCAATGCTGTAATTTACATGACAATTAGACAGAAATATTATGAATTTGAAAAAAATTTTTATTTTTGCTTAATTTACCTTGAAACTATACTAGAGTTATTGAACAAATCACTGGCGTAATTTAACGTGGCTAATGGTCTCATATTACTATATTTAATAAATTTTGAAAGATTTTCAGTAAATTNAACATTGAGATTATTACTATCACTTACATTATTCTAACAAAATACTGAATAACTTATGATCCAGTTGTTCAATGTTTTATATTAATTAATGGCTATAAAACATATTTATAATTATTAAATCAAACTAATGTATAAATAACAAATAAAAAATTAGTGATTAATAACATGTTTTAAATTAACATATAAACTTACAGAATTTTCAATTTTCCGTTTCTTTTCTTTTTGTTGCTGATATTTTGTTATTAATTCATTTACTGAAACAAAATATATATTCATAAAAACAGATAAAACATTTGTTGATTTAAAAATTTTTCAAGTTAAAGGTTTTGTCACTTACGTAAGAAGTTAGGGAATATTTGATCTTTCTTCTCAATAACATAATTACATTTTGGACATCTATTACTTTGCTCTAGACTTGCAGTGATGCATTTATAACTAAAATTAAAGTTTAGAATGAATTGATTATTAGCATGTATAAATTCATTTGTTAAATTTAAATATTTAAAATTTTTCATTATAATTTCATTACCAAAATGTATGGCCACATTTAGTCATATGAGCTTCTTCTATTATCTCAAAACAAACAGGACTATGAAAAGAAAATTCACAGAATTAATACACAATATGAAACTAAAAATATTTTGCATTTTTATATTATGAATGAAATATATGTAATTTACACAGATCTAAAACCTAAATTTGAGAATTTGTTTTCCGAATTCTATAAAAACAAAAAGTTTTCTTTGACAATAAAATTTAAAAGATATATTGTTGTGGTCAATTGACTGCATTTGGCCAAGACAACATTTCTTTTAAATTTTAATAAAGAATCTAATAAGAGAGTGGTGGTTAGATAGTTCATTTGAAAGAATGAACTAAAATGATAATCAATATACTACAATCACTAATAATTTAATATTTACTGACAATGCATATAAACTTTCACTAAAACTCAAACTACATTATTGAGAAAATCAAGCAAATCCAATACCTTTTATATGCAATGGTTAAAAAGTTACATGCATTGTCAATATAAAATTGTATTGTTACAATTTTACATTTTAATAAATTTGTAAATATTCAAATCCAGCAGAGCAGCTATATTATCATTCTTCAGTCTACTTTATAGACAAAAGAAATAAAGCCTGGTTATTATGAATATTGATAGATACATATTGTTAACCTAAGCATATATTTGTATATACTTGCAAATTCTGACATCTACTCACACATTGGTGTATATATCTAAATGTAACCAACTGTATGCTTTCAAACATCACAGTTATTACCAATGAGAAAAGTAAACTCATTTAACAGAAATATATATTCTCATGATTTATTAAACTTAATTTTTATACTTTGGAACATTTGTTCCTTTTGTATATTGCTATCACAATTTTCTCCATGAACTATCTTCTTAGACTGATACTGCTTTACTATAAACATTTAACCTGTGGAAAGTGATATATAAAAATATTTTATGATATATCTTTATGATAACACAATCTTTATATTACGAAATGAGATATAAGAACATTAAACAGCTAATATAAATTTTAAAAATACTCAAAACAATTTTTTATAAGAATTCATTTATATCCTTTCTAGAAAAATTTAATCATCACATTTAAGAATATTCTAACAACACTATGGAACAAAGCAGTTATGGTTTCACACATCAAAAAGTTCACATGTATGTGAAAGTAGACACCAAATCTAGCCTGTTTCTAGCTAAAATCTTCACTTCATTTGGCAATAACAAGTCCTATACATTTTTTTTTATCCACATATGATTGACATATGCAATGAATGATGGTATTTTCTATTAAATTAAAATTTATTTCTATTCTATTTTCAGTCTTTTTTTCATTTCAAAGGCTAAAAACTAATATAAATTACACTATTTCATTTCTTTTTGTTCAAGTCATAAAGAAAATCAAAAGTACTATTTTTAAATATAATTAAAGAAATTTGAATGTTTTTCTTTGAAAATACATGTTTTAATCACTATATTAATTAAAAACATCTCATTTTTATTATTTTCACACTCAGCAATCAATTTTATATAAAGTGCAAGATTTCTGAAAATTGCAAAAGTTCACTTTGAATCACAGCTAAAGTATAGCTTCTAATTATAATTATGCTTTACAAAATCTAATTATGCTTTACAAAATCTTAAAATATGCATTAAAAATGTATAGGACTTTATCTTGCCAAATTAAGCAAAGTTTCAGGCTAGATCTGACCTCTACTATCCCAGATACATCATCTTTTTGATGTGTGAAACAACTTTCTTTTGTTCCATGGTGTAATAGGATAAACAGCAGAAAAATTTTAATAATCAGCTGAATATTTTGAAACAAATCAGCTNCAATCGTCTTAATTCACAAGTTATAGTCTATCCTAATGATATTAAACTAATAAATCATGACTCTGTTTCTCCACAATCAGATCTAAACTTACAACTGAATTATTCGAAAAGGCCAACTTAAGAATTAATGCAAAAAAAAATAAAATAAAATAAAAAATATATAAAAAAAACTGTTGCTACATGCTTTTCATTAACCAGAAATTTCCTCTCTCCATCTTTTATACCAAATATGTAAAGTATATCAACTCTGTAAATGATCTAGGCATTATTTTTTATATTAAACTCAGTTTCAAAGGTCACATTGACAAAACAGTTAAATCCCTTGCCATTCAATGTGGAATCCTATGGAGATTGTGCCCTTTGATATTTTCTAAAATTGTTTTACAATCCATTTTTTTGCTAGTTTTCAATCTTTTATTGATTATTGTATACCAATCTGGTTGATAGCTTCCCCCTCTCTGCTAAACAAAAATCACAAAAGAACTAAATAAAACTAACTTAATAGTAAGGGAAGACTTAGTAACCTGGACCTATCAACATTAGTAAAAGCCATCCTAACATTGATAGGTCCAGGTTACTAGGTCTTTCCTTATTTACTAATCACAAAGTATTTTGATCAATTACTATATCATAGATATTATAATGAATACATAGTGTCTGAACAGATTAAATTAAGTGTTCCCTCAAACAATTTTTGTAATTTTTCAAGCATATCTACATCCTTTTTAGATTATCCCTCTCTGTCTCTCAAAGTTCTTTTTTATGATACATCATAAAATATAGGTAGTTCCAAATACTTATTAAACATTGATTATTACTGTATGAATCTATGAGCACTAAGTTTTGGCTCTATTGGAGACTATTGATGTCAAAATAATCACACAGAAGTGGGTAGATTAAAATAGTTAAAAACTAAAAATTTAAAATTATTTTAAACTATTTTAATCATAAACCCAAATGTTTGTAACAAAAAACTACTTGTATTTTAGTAGACACCTGTAAACCCACCAAATTATAACAAATATGGCTGAAGGGGACAGACAACCTTTCTGAAATGCATACTGTCGTTGTCATAAACACATATCTACCCTCTTCTGTCTGATTACTCCAATGTCAAAAGTGTGAGATAAATCCTCCTTAGAGCCAAAACTTAGTGCTCATAGATTCATACTGTAACATAAAGACAAAAAGCAAATCATCAATTTATTATTAGTTTCAAAAAACCTGCAAACAAATTTTATAATACAAGGTGTGACAATTAAATTCCAGGACTGGGGTAATAAAAAGACACAAAAAACATATAATGAAAAACCCTTTTAATATGTTTCAAAGTAATCCCCCTGGAGGGCAATGCACTTCTCACAACACTTGTACAAGTTCTTGAAACACTTCCATTGACAGAAAGCAAAGTCACTTCCATTGACAGCTCTCAATTCCTTCGTCACATTGCGCTGTATATCCTCCAGGTCGTCGAATCTTCATCCCTTCAATGCGATTTTATTTTCGGAAACAAAATTAGTCACAAGGCAACAAATCTGGTGAGTATGAAGGGTGGTTCAACTCCATAATGCCATGTTTGGTCAAAAACTCCTTGACAGTAGTCGCAGTGTGCAGGCAGGCATTGTCGTGCAGCAGTACCCAGTTTCCTCTTGCTTCAAACTGAGGTCTAACCCGACAAGTTGTCTCCAGATTGATACCAGTTGTCTCTGCTATCATCCAAATAGACATTCAACGGTCATATCACAGCAAGAGTCTGATTTTTTCAATGTCTTCTGGTATTGGAACTGATTGAGGTCGTCCAGGGCAAGCATCGTCCTCAAGGTCTTCCTGACCAACCCTGAAACGCACAAACCACTTGAAAACATGAGAGCAGGATAGGGCATCATTCCCATAAACTTGCTTGATGAGGGCATACATCTCTGTTGCACTTTTATCCAACTTGTAACAAAACTTAATGTTCGCGTTTTGTTCCATGACAAAAACGTGACAACACTTTCTCATAGCAATATGTGAATGGAGTACAGAAAAAGAATGAGTTACGAGACACGAACAAATCTTTGCAGACAAGTAGCCAAATGGTTGAACTATTATGACAAGCTTAGACAAGTTTCTGCACGGTGACACTGCAGTGCTACACAACCAGTCCTGGAATTAAATTGTCACACCTTGTATAATCAAGATGGGTTGATAATGATAATAAGTGCAGAGCACAAATGGTTAGGAGTTGAAGGTTGAAATTTGGTACACAGTTAGGATACGTCATGAGAATGTACACTAAGAAGGGATTTTTCGAAATTCTCTGCCACAGAGGAGAGGGAGAGGATTAAGGCTTACTGTGAAAAACCCGGCTTCTATTATAGTATTTTAGATGCGGTTTTTTGCATTTTTGATTGTGTTTTAACAAGGTATATCATGAGAATGCACATCAAGAAGGGATTTTTCAAAATTCCCATTATAGGGAGAGAGAGAGAAGATTAAGATTACCCTGAAGCAATCAGCTACTACTGTACTATTTTAGATGTGTTATTTTTGCATTTCTGCAGGAAATTGAACATATTTTTAGACCCTTCTAAAAATTCTCGATGATATTTAGTGTTCCATTGTATATAAAGTTGAAACAGGGAGGACGTGCATAAGTTCACTTTATTCAAACTCTTCATCTTAATGTTCGATTTTATGTTCGAATTTATATTTATGAATGATTCGGGAAGATCCAGCTTATCTTTCGAATTTAGTAAACCTAAAGAAGAACCCAGAAGCGGTTACAAAAACATTTGTCATTCATCACTTAGTGGTACGACACACCAGTTAGTGGTTGCTGTGAATCTTAATCATCATTATCCCAGTATGGAAAGCAGATATCTAAAAATTTTCTACTTAGTCTCGGAAGAGGGAGACCTAATTCTTGCTCTGTGAAAACAGGTAAGATTGGCTATGATCTAATAATCTTAATCTTCGCTATTGTTACTTTTTGTCTGAGCAACACCAGGTTATCATCTGCTAGTAATATATAATTCTTAACTTTTTTTCTTTTGCTTTTATACTTATTATTTATTGTTTTTTTATTTTGTTGTATTTTATTCTTTGTTTTTTCATGTATTTTAATTGGAATTCCAATGTTAATTGGGGAGGAAATCTGTTGTCACAAGACTTTTCCTAATTTAATTGAAAATAAAATAAGGAACTTGCAAGTATCTATTAGGATTGACAAGTGTGAGTAATTGCCCTAAGGCAGTGGTTTTCAGGGATGACATAAAATATAATACTGAGGAGTGCCATAAAACTTATTACATGTATTACTAAAAATACAATAATTCTAGACTGATAAAGAAATAGGGATGCTACTAGTAGAAAAAAGTTGAAAAACAGCCATAAGGGCTTCTTGATCCAAATTGCATAAAGCTACCAATAGCATCTATTAGAAAAATACTTTAATAAAATCAGTTGTATTGTCTTCTACTTAAACTGGATAAAATTTCATGGATATTTCAAACTTTAGTTATATTTTCACTTACTTCTTGTTTATGCTTCCTTATCTGATCCAGAAATTCTTTTAAAAGTTGAAATTGTGCTGCTCTGCAATCCTGAAACAATAAAATAAAAATGTACTAATTATTCAAAAAATGTTCGTTGAAAATTTTTAATGGATTTAGCATGAAAGATAATAAATTAAAGCTATAGAAGATAATACATATCCTCAATTAAAACAATTTCAGTTGAAAATTTTTCCATATTCATATTTAAAAATACAAAATTTTAACAGAAAAGCTTTAGAATTTACAAAATAGTTACATATTACAATTGTTGATTTTGCTTATTATTTAATCATTATCATATTACAAAATAGATGGAAGAAGTTATGATTTAAGTAAATGAAAAAAATATAAAGCATGTTCAAAAACTGAAACATTTTCCTGCAAAGAAGAAACTGCAAAATCAAGTATTAAGTACAAATCAAATACACGAATCAGAAAAATTGGACATTTTCTGGGTATCAAAATTGACATTGAGAAAATCTCATCACAATTTCCAATTCTTAAAATGATTCTTCCACATTTTATAAGAAAATTAATTATTTGTTTTGGTTGGTGATTAAAAAGTTTTACTAGAACATTGCATGACTGTTTTATCACAATAAAATTGAGGCTGAACTGAAAGGAAGGAAGGAAGCAATCCCTGCACCTACTAGGCACAGAAGAAGCAATCCTTGTACACAGACAGGTAAACTTTGCACTTGCCACCACAAAAGCGGCTATCCTCATACCTGCAGGCCACAGGAGACATGATCCTTGCACTGACCAGGTAGAGAGATGATCCAAGATCAAAGCAATTGCCATCGATTGCTCTGTTATTGTGTTTTGTTCATTTTTCGCATCTATTTTCCATTAGGAGTATGCAATACTGTTTTTATTTTTGACCCCTAGACTTAAATTCCATTAGGTGTGCTCAGTCACATCAGAGAGCATGGGCATTGTCACTGTAATATCTTTATATCAAAAACGAAGTCATAGGCTCCTATTTTTATACTCCCAGCTCTTATGTATAACAGAGGAAAAGTATGGTGATCAATCAAAAATTGACCCCAAAGATTTTTATATTTTTGGACTTGGGACGTTCAAACATCCGAAAATGCAAAAACATTCAAGAGTTCTTTTCTGTATGTATGGTGTGGGTGTATGTGTGTGTAGCATGATTTTGTTTACCTTGTTTAAAACTTAATAGCTCGTGCTTTCGAAAATTTCTGAAATTTTGCAGAAAGATTTGTATATTAGAGAAATTCATACTATTAAATTTTGGTGTTTAAGGTCAATGGGACAGGGAAATAAAGAGGGAATCGTGTGTCATATCTTCAGTAGGATAAGACTTAAATGCTAATAATGAGTAAAATTGTCATTATCATTTTTTTTATAAAACCCATCCCTAATTTCAAAATTAAACATTTTGCCATTTTATAATAATTAAAAATGCAAACAGTTTTTTAAATGAAATATTGTAACAGATAGCACTATCAAAGTTTTAAATGTTGCAGAGAAAGTTAAGCGATTTGTTGCTAGATTTTTTACATTTAAATAAACCCATATTATGTTTCTGGATTCCTCATCATCTTGATTAATGGAAAATGGCAAAGTTTTATCAAAACTGATCCATTAAATTTATCAATCCACTCAATTCTATAAGCCCATACAAGACATGCTAGCAACCACGAAACATTGCACAACAAAGTCGCACAGTCAATGCAGTATCACTTTGTTGCACACATGAAATATTTTATATTTTGAAAATGAAGTCATGGACCCCCATTTTTTATTGTATTTTTGGATTCCTTATTGCAATTAATAGCAGATGGCAAAGTTTAATCAAAATCGATTGAACAGATTTTGATTTCTGTAAGTCTCATAGAAGCTTTGCTAACACTCCACTTCAAAAATTACAATATTAACAATTATTTTTATTGGAAACATTCACATCAAGTATACTTTGTCAATGTTGCTGGATTATTTTCTTTTGCAACAAATATAAAAATTGTTTGTTTTGCACAAAAGATAAAAACTAAAATAAATTTAAATTTGATTCAGTAATTTCATTAATTTGTTTCATAAATTTGCCTGCTTTTTAAAAATTTTAATTATAAGCAAATTAACATTGACTGTTTGAATGACTAGCAACATTTCAAAAATAAACAGATTTCAATTGAACTGTATTTTAAATAATTTCATTCTTATTTTTTTTTTATCTAGCAGTGTACAATAATCTTTGTTAACAAGTTAATGCAGTGTTTCCCAAACTTTATCAGTCCATGGCACACTTACAATAATTCCAAATAAAAGTATTTTATTTCCAAAATGAGACAATTTAATAATAAATTAATGGAATTTACCAAATAAACTACAGTAAAGCATCGATTATCTGAATCAATTGGGGAGTGGGGTTGTTCAAAAAACTGATTTTTCAGATAACCGATTATGTATGAAAAAATATATTAACCTATTCCATGTTGAAATTCGTTCAAATCCTAGCATGTCCTTAAGTACTCTCTCATGGTCGTGCCAGTGCTGCCAACAAAACACACACACACACCAACAAAAATAATATTGGAGTAGCCCAAGACACAGCCAAAGATTGCAGCGCCACAGCACTAGCGGAAATTTAAATTTGCTGACTGGAAAGCTTTCAGTTAATTGACGTTTTGGTTCATCGACATTCGGATAATTGATGCTCTACTGTGTAATGTATTTCTGGATTTTTAATATTTGGATGATTGTTCAGAGAAAAAACATGAAAACAATGAAAATATCACTAATACTAATAAACTGATAAGTAAAATAAACGCAATATTTAATTTTTAATGATGTATTGAAGGAATCAAATCCATTCTATTAATTTCCAAGACAATTCTATCTTATCTATTAAAGTTATCCAAATTTCTGTAATACAAAAATAAAAACATTCATACAAAATCTTCAAACAACAAATTTTTTAAATTGTCCTAATTGTTAGAAAATATGTTGAGATTATTTTATATTTTTTATGGCTACTAAATGTAATCTTTAATTATTTTAAACACCTTTAAGTGCTTCAAATACTTTTTATCAAGACAAAGGTTTAGGTATTCCAAATAACCTAAAAGTTTTTCTAACATTTGTGGAGTATTTTCAAATATTCCTACATTAAAAGGTCAGTAATTAGATTTTTAACTATAATACTTCTGGTAATCAGTATTTTCAAATACTCTGGCTTACCTTAAGTACTGTGTACCTTCAGATCCACTGTGGGTATGTTTTTAAAATCCATTTGGCTGTGGGTTTCTTTAGTTCTGTGTTTATTTTTTCTGGGCTATTTAAATCTGTTTATTTTTTCAAAATTAATTTTTGTACATGTGTCAGAATAACCAGAGGTCATTAAATGACAAACAAAAATGATTCTAATAAAGTAACACAGACAACAAGAAATGTGATGCAATAATTTACATAATTACAATTTTGAACAGGTTGTTTACAGTAATCTGTAGCTTATAATATGTGATTTGAATAAACCCACATATGGACTTATTTAATTATTGTAGGTTGTTTTTTTAAAATGTGACTGGGGTATGGGTTTTGTTAGGGAAAAAGGATTATACAAAACTAAAGCATGTGTCAATATAGCAAATTGTCTATGAACTGGCAACACTGTGTAAGACCACTTGAAACAAGAAGAGACCTATTTTCAGTTGCGCACCAAGTTATGGATGTGTGAACAAGTTCATGCATAGTCTTAGATTAGAATAAAGTTTAATTCTAAGTTAAAGGACTGCCTCATCATTGTTCTAACTATGGTAATGGACCCAGGAACAGAAAATTAAGTATCAAAGACTAAAATTACAGGAATTAAAAGAAAATAGAATTATGAAGCCTATAAAAGAAAAATGGCAAGTCAACTAGCTATATGAACAGAACCATTGTGTAAAGAAAACTTCGATACATGGAAAATACAGATGAAGGCACTCTTGATCTAAAACAATTCATGAAAATACATCAGTGGAAAAAGAAAGAAACCAGAAATTATACATGGAGATGAAAGTACAAAGATGGCAGCAGAACAATGGAACACAGCAGACTTGAAGGCAATGTGTGATATAATTCTCACCATAAGTCTAGTAAAATTAAAACAGACAAAAGGATAAACCTCACATGAAATATGGAATAAGCTACATGAAATTTTTGAATTGAAAGGTCCTGTGAGAAAGACCATGCTACTAAAGAAATGAATTATCAAAAAAACAAGAAGAAGACCACATGGCAGATAACATAAGAGACTTTTTTGATATAGTAGATAAGTTAAAAGAAATGGAAATCTCCATAAACAAAGAACTATTAACCATACTACTGCTATATAGTATACCGGATTTGTTCAAACAATTTTGAATTGCTATCGAAACAAGAGAAACTTCTTTTGCTGGACACACTCAAAACAAAACTAATAGAAGAGTGTGAGGCGAGAAGACAAAATGACAATACTGATGACTTAAAGAATTCAAGTGCGCTGTATATAAGCAAACAACAGATGAAACAATCAAAAAATAAGGGGCCATTCAAATTCAAATGCCATAACTAGAAAGATAGGCCATAACGCGAGATAATGCTGGGACAGAAAGAAGCGAAAACCACAGAGTTATAACTACAAGCCTAACAACACAAAAACAGGAGTCATATAATGCTAATATCATGGCAAATGAAAGAAGAGAAAACCGTAAATGGCATCTAGACTCAGGTGCTTCATCACACATGTGCAATGATAAAATCAAGATTTTCTAATGTTGAAACATCCCACATAAGTGAATTAAACTTGGCCAACTCATCTACAATGAAATTAAAGGAAGTGGTGATGTAATAATTGAAACAAATGGCAGATTTCAAGCCAAATTGGAGAACACACTCTTTGTACCAGAACTAAGGACCAATCTACTGTTGGTTGCGATGATAACTGATCATGGATTCAGTGTACTATTCCAGAAGAACCAGGCAACTATTATGGATCTGAAAATCAAAAGCATACACAAGCAAGCATTTAAAGGAGGGCTATACTATGTGAAAGAAAGGTAGGATGAATCTAAACTCTCTCGAACAATTGTTAACAAAATGAAAAGGTGGCACGAACATTTAGGTCACTTAAACGAAAGGGACGTATGGCACATGGCCAACAACATAAAGGTCAGAAGACTAAATATAAGATGAAAAGAAGAATTCAACCCATGAGATCAGCATAAGAGGGAAACAAACTGGATCACTATTTCCGAAACAAAACGAAAAGAGATGCAGAGAAGTCTTAAACTGATCCATACTGACATTTGTGGACCAATGAGAACCAAATCATTGAGTGGCTTGAAGTATTTCATCATGTTTATTGATGATTATTCCAGATGGTGTGAAATATATTTCACAAAAAACAAAAGTGAAGAAGCTCTCGAGAAATTCAAAACATACTTAGCCTTTGTAGAAAATAAAACAGGAAGAAAGATAAAGGCAATAAGAAGTGACAATGGAACTGAGTTTACTAATAGAGAATTTCAGAACTTCCTGAAACAGAAAGGGATTAGGCATGAGAAAACAGCCTGCTACACATCCCAACAAAATGGCATCGCAGAAAGAAGAAATAGAATGTTAGTGGAAATGGGAATATGCATACTACTCCAAGAAGGATTAAGAGATTGCGTTTGGGCAGAGGCTATATATACTGCATCATATATTAGAAATAGATGTCCATCAAAGAGCCTGGAAGGCAACATACCCTTCAAATTATGCACTGGTAGAATGCCAACAATCAAATATTTTAGGACATTCAGTCAAATGGCATTTGCATTAGAAAAAAAACCACAAAAAGGAAAATTTCATGAAAAAATCCACCAAATGCATATTTATAGGCTATTCTAGTGAAACAAAAGCATTATCGTCTATGGAATATGAAGACAAAGAGAGTTATAACAAGCAGAGATGTCAAATTTATCAATGAATCCCCAAACAACTCAAGAGACAATACTGAAATGACTGAAACTAATAGATCCCACGAAAGGGAAAGACTTGATAATAAAGAAGTGAATTAGATATCCTTGAGCCTACTAAGAAACAATTACAACCTGAAGAACATACTTCATTCAATAGTGAAGACAAAAACAAAACTAATGAAAATGAGTAGAGTAATGAACTGGTAAGAGCAAGTGGGAAGCCACAAATTGCTCGAACAGGACAGAGAGGGCGACCAAGAAAGGAGTATAGAGTGAAAACCATAGAAGAATCTGCCACAATTGGTGAAAAGATAGTCAAAGACAATGTAGAACCTTTAACATATAAAGAAGCCATGGAATCAAATGACTCAGCCAGATGGCTGGCTGTCATAAAGGAAGAAACGGAATTTTCCCTGAGAAAACATAAGGTATGGAACTTAACTGACCCCTGTGGATGTATAAATAGCAAAGAGATTACTAAGTAAAGATAGTTTCTTCAAGAGGGGCAATTGTTAGGGAAAAAGAATTATACAAAACTAAAACACGTGTCGATATAGCAAATTGTCTATGAACTGGCAACGTCTATGTACGACCACTTGAAATAAGAAGAGATCTGGGTCATGTTCAGTAATGCAGAATTCTTGCTAAGTCTAGTTATGCTGCAATGTTGAACTCATTTCTAACTACTGCTTGACTCCTCCTACCACTAGAATTCTAGCTAGTTTAGTCTATGATAACTTCTACTAGTGACATCATTGTTTTTGTCTCATACGATTTGCAAGATGGCTGCTCATGTTGGATTAAATGTATTTTATTATAACAATCACAAAGTTATTCTCTCATTCTAAAATGACTTTGAAATGTAAAGTTATCATACATCAGTATAACAGATTTCAAATACATTTTAACAGAAGATAACGATCCATTTCGTTGATTACAATGAAATGGATCATTCATTAATTCATTAATTTCATGATTGGATATATGAACAACCAAAACCCTCCTATGATAGCAGTATTCACAAGCTTCCTGAATGTTGCAAAGTGTGCTGCAGTCAATAGGGACTATACTTCTATGCATTTGGAACTAGAACTATTTTAAGATGACCAAGACAAAACCTTTCTCACTTGTTTCTATTTAAATTTCTACCAACCGACACTAACAGACCACAGTATACCTGAAGAAGGCCTATTAAGAAGACCGAAAACATTCGTACTCGTGTATAAATGGCTAGAAACAAGTGAGAAAGGTTTTGTCTTGGTCAATAGGGACTATATTGAAAAATAATATGCTACGTACTTTCATTAAAATGATAAAGGTATTCTAAGCAAATTGTTATTTATATCAGAACTCCCTCATATAAACTATACAATTAAAGTTTATAATCTAAAATTTAATTAAATCCATTTTGTAACTCCCATACCAACAAATCATACCATACAAAATCTAGAAATCAAAAATGAAATGAATAGTAATTAAGCCTAATAAACATTAAATTAATCAACTTCTTGGCTGTTTGAATACTAAATGATCAAGTACAATACACATACTTTTTAGAATTTTGAATTTAAATGTGTTTAAAAAGAAAAATTCAAATACAGTAAAATCTGTCCAAAACAGAACCTGAATAAAATAGAAACCTGCTTCAACGAAAAACACTTTGGAGTGAAGCAATTTTCTATGTTAAATTTTACTATAAGCTGAAAACTGTCCAATGCAGAAACAAAAAATTTTTGGGTGTGAAGAATATAATTTAACCTAAATAAAGCAGAAAATTAAGATTCCACTTATAGATAAAAATTTCTTCCAGATATAACATTCACTGCAGATCATGAGAAACTGTATTTTGAGAATAAAAATCATTTGATGAAGGACATACAGATCCAAGTTCTTTGTAAATTCAGTATTAATCTTTTCGGAAATTAACCAAAGGAAGAATTGAATACAGTGAGTGATCGGTTAACGAACATAATCCATTCCAAGACTTTGTTCGCTATCCGAATTGTTTGTTAACCGATTATCGATTTACCATAGATTTTAATGGGAATTTAATTAATTCGTTCTGGAGACCCCCCAAAATAAAAAATATATACTTTCTTACTAAATTTATTTACATGTAATAATAAATATACATACAAACACAGTCTTGCATTTTTATTAGTCATATTTTTTCCGTTTGAAAGGGTTAAAGAATCTGTCTAATGTCGATTGCTTTTCTCTCTTCTTCAGGATTTGTTCAATTGTAGAAATCCACAAGCCTCAACCTGGTTTGGCATTCTAAGACCGCTGTTCTGACATCCTCCCACTTCTTCAAAGGATCTTTAATTAATAACAAATATCGGCATTAATCCTCTTTTTCATAAGAAAACATATCTCGCCGAGTTTCTTGGTGTTCTTCATTCAAGAGTTCTTGGCGTTCTTCTGTCATCAGATCCGTTTCATGTTCCATTATGAACTCTCCGATGTTCTATATTTCTCAAATGTGATTTTTGTTACTCCTTTAGCTGCTNGAAAAATAGTGTAAAATGTAAACAAAATTATATTTTAATTTAAAAATAATTTTATATAATATTTTTCATGTTAGCATGTTTACTTATAATGATAAAACAACTCTCTCTCTATAACTATGAAAGTTTTTGTTATGATTTACAGATGATACTGTAATATGTTAAATTTTCAAATGCAATTTGCACAGTTCTCAGTAAAAAATACTTGTTTACACTAAGTTTAATACCATTTGAGTTTTAAAAATTGATTTTTCAAGATGAGTTGGTCTAGACATTCATAGCTCATGAATGAATTCAAAAATTGTTAACTCGTGACAATATTTGTTCAGATTGTTGCATTATTTTACAAACCTCATTTAATATTAAATACAATAAAGTAAATCATTTACAAAACATGCTCATTGCAAGAAACATGAAAAAAGTGCATCTTCTCATTTGCCTTTCCCTCCCAAGTCATCATGTCAGCCAACGAAGCAGTTTCCAAAGATAAAATATTGACAAGAGATAGTTTGAGTAAAAGGGAATTAGCTGTAATTTCTTTCAGAATAGTGTTACAATATTAACTTAATCTGAAATAAGATTACAAATTTATTTTGTAGTACACAAAGCATGCATATCCATATATAAATGCAGAATTTTCATGTTTCTTTTGAAAGACCGATTCTGGATTTCCCAATCATTTTTTATTCTTAAACTTGATATTTATTAATTAATGAATGTACCATAAATCATTAATTTTTCTAAACTAAAATAAACTTTAGACAGTATTCAAAAGAATCAGAATCAGGAGTTTTTGACAGAATTGAGAAAAAGTTGGGTATCATCCCATCACTAAAAATAATGTAATTAAAATTATTGCATTTTTCTCAATAAATGAGTACTATCCTTTATTCTTTATATTGTGCTTAAACCTTTTACAGAAAACCAAATACTTTTATTTGAGAATTATTTATTTTCATTAAAGTGAATAACTTAAATTGTTACCTTTTAAATATCTTTGTCATTTTAAAAAATAAGTTTCATGACAAAAAAGCAAGACAGTTCTGTATATGCATATTCATAAATTTTCCCTACTAATAATAATTGATTTCCTACAAGTTTTAAATATTTGGTAAAATATTAATTTCTCTGGCTCTTCTGATATTTTAAAATGTTAACAATATTTGTATAGTTGAAACATTATATATTTGACTATCAGTTCACCCTATTTAAAAATGTTTCATAAAAATTAAAAACTCACAGCTTCTAATTGTTGTTTCTTTTGTGATAAAACTTCTAACATATAATTTACATCAATCAAATCTAAGTGATCAGATTCTTCAAGTAAAAATTCTTGCAATTCTGAAAAATTCTGTCCTCTCTGAAATTAAAAAAGTTCTTTATTTAAAAAGATGTTTATGAAACATAGTATTTTTTAATTAGAAATTACAATTGGAAAAAAGTTTATTTACAAATTACATTAAAAACATTAATTCAATTTACTGGTAAAAACTACTTAGTATTGTAAAGAATAATACTTTTGTAAAAGATTTAGATTTCACTAAATAGTATTACTTATTAAAATGTTTAATGTTTGGTTTTGTCAGAATTTAATTTTTGCAAATTTCAAAATCAAAAAATTACAGCAAATGTATACTGATCTTAAAGATTGATGATAAGTATAATTGCATTAGCATTAAATAAGTTAAGAGTTCAATTGCTTTGCTTAACATTGAGATTATTACTATCACTTACATTATTCTAACAAAATACTGAATAACTTATGATCCAGTTGTTCAATGTTTTATATTAATTAATGGCTATAAAACATATTTATAATTATTAAATCAAACTAATGTATAAATAACAAATAAAAAATTAGTGATTAATAACATGTTTTAAATTAACATATAAACTTACAGAATTTTCAATTTTCCGTTTCTTTTCTTTTTGTTGCTGATATTTTGTTATTAATTCATTTACTGAAACAAAATATATATTCATAAAAACAGATAAAACATTTGTTGATTTAAAAATTTTTCAAGTTAAAGGTTTTGTCACTTACGTAAGAAGTTAGGGAATATTTGATCTTTCTTCTCAATAACATAATTACATTTTGGACATCTATTACTTTGCTCTAGACTTGCAGTGATGCATTTATAACTAAAATTAAAGTTTAGAATGAATTGATTATTAGCATGTATAAATTCATTTGTTAAATTTAAATATTTAAAATTTTTCATTATAATTTCATTACCAAAATGTATGGCCACATTTAGTCATATGAGCTTCTTCTATTATCTCAAAACAAACAGGACTATGAAAAGAAAATTCACAGAATTAATACACAATATGAAACTAAAAATATTTTGCATTTTTATATTATGAATGAAATATATGTAATTTACACAGATCTAAAACCTAAAGGAGAATTTGTTTTCCGAATTCTATAAAAACAAAAAGTTTTCTTTGACAATAAAATTTAAAAGATATATTGTTGTGGTCAATTGACTGCATTTGGCCAAGACAACATTTCTTTTAAATTTTAATAAATAATCTAATAAGAGAGTGGTGGTTAGATAGTTCATTTGAAAGGATGAACTAAAATGATAATCAATATACTACAATCACTAATAATTTAATATTTACTGTCAATGCATATAAACTTTCACTAAAACTCAAACTACATTATTGAGAAAATCAAGCAAATCCAATACCTTTTATATGCAATGGTTAAAAAGTTACATGCATTGTCAATATAAAATTGTATTGTTACAATTTTACATTTTAATAAATTTGTAAATATTCAAATCCAGCAGAGCAACTATATTATCATTCTTCAGTCTACTTTATAGACAAAAGAAATAAAGCCTGGTTATTATGAATATTGATAGATACATATTGTTAACCTAAGCATATATTTGTATATACTTGCAAATTCTGACATCTACTCACACATTGGTGTATATATCTAAATGTAACCAACTGTATGCTTTCAAACATCACAGTTATTACCAATGAGAAAAGTAAACTCATTTAACAGAAATATATATTCTCATGATTTATTAAACTTAATTTTTATACTTTGGAACATTTGTTCTTTTTGTATATTGCTATCACAATTTTCTCCATGAACTATCTTCTTAGACTGATACTGCTTTACTATAAACATTTAACCTGTGGAAAGTGATATATAAAAATATTTTATGATATATCTTTATGATAACACAATCTTTATATTACAAAATGAGATATAAGAACATTAAACAGCTAATATAAATTTTAAAAATACTCAAAACAATTTTTTATAAGAATTCATTTATATCCTTTCTAGAAAAATTTAATCATCACATTTAAGAATATTCTAACAACACTATGGAACAAAGCAGTTATGGTTTCACACATCAAAAAGTTCACATGTATGTGAAAGTAGACACCAAATCTAGCCTGTTTCTAGCTAAAATCTTCACTTCATTTGGCAATAACAAGTCCTATACATTTTTTTTTATCCACATATGATTGACATATGCAATGAATGATGGTATTTTCTATTAAATTAAAATTTATTTCTATTCTATTTTCAGTCTTTTTTTCATTTCAAAGGCTAAAAACTAATATAAATTACACTATTTCATTTCTTTTTGTTCAAGTCATAAAGAAAATCAAAAGTACTATTTTTAAATATAATTAAAGAAATTTGAATGTTTTTCTTTGAAAATACATGTTTTAATCACTATATTAATTAAAAACATCTCATTTTTATTATTTTCACACTCAGCAATCAATTTTATATAAAGTGCAAGATTTCTGAAAATTGCAAAAGTTCACTTTGAATCACAGCTAAAGTATAGCTTCTAATTATAATTATGCTTTACAAAATCTAATTATGCTTTACAAAATCTTAAAATATGCATTAAAAATGTATAGGACTTTATCTTGCCAAATGAAACAAAGTTTCAGGCTAGATCTGACCTCTGCTATCCCAGATACACCATCTTTTTGATGTGTGAAACAACTTTCTTTTGTTCCATGGTGTAATAGGATAAACAGCAGAAAAATTTTAATAATCAGCTGAATATTTTGAAACAAATCAGCTGATTTACAATTATTAAAAATAAATGAAAAATATTATTATGAATTAAAAAAATGAATAATAATTCAAGATTTTTTCATTATTATAATGGGATGCGTTACTAAAAAAATCTAAATAGAAACTTGAATGACTAGCAACATTTCAAAAATAAACAGATTTCAATTGAACTGTATTTTAAATAATTTCATTCTTATTTTTTTTTTATCTAGCAGTGTACAATAATCTTTGTTAACAAGTTAATGCAGTGTTTCCCAAACTTTATCAGTCCATGGCACACTTACAATAATTCCAAATAAAAGTATTTTATTTCCAAAATGAGACAATTTAATAATAAATTAATGGAATTTACCAAATAAACTACAGTAAAGCATCGATTATCTGAATCAATTGGGGAGTGGGGTTGTTCAAAAAACTGATTTTTCAGATAACCGATTATGTATGAAAAAATATATTAACCTATTCCATGTTGAAATTCGTTCAAATCCTAGCATGTCCTTAAGTACTCTCTCATGGTCGTGCCAGTGCTGCCAACAAAACACACACACACACCAACAAAAATAATATTGGAGTAGCCCAAGACACAGCCAAAGATTGCAGCGCCACAGCACTAGCGGAAATTTAAATTTGCTGACTGGAAAGCTTTCAGTTAATTGACGTTTTGGTTCATCGACATTCGGATAATTGATGCTCTACTGTGTAATGTATTTCTGGATTTTTAATATTTGGATGATTGTTCAGAGAAAAAACATGAAAACAATGAAAATATCACTAATACTAATAAACTGATAAGTAAAATAAACGCAATATTTAATTTTTAATGATGTATTGAAGGAATCAAATCCATTCTATTAATTTCCAAGACAATTCTATCTTATCTATTAAAGTTATCCAAATTTCTGTAATACAAAAATAAAAACATTCATACAAAATCTTCAAACAACAAATTTTTTAAATTGTCCTAATTGTTAGAAAATATGTTGAGATTATTTTATATTTTTTATGGCTACTAAACGTAATCTTTAATTATTTTAAACACCTTTAAGTGCTTCAAATACTTTTTATCAAGACAAAGGTTTAGGTATTCCAAATAACCTAAAAGTTTTTCTAACACTTGTGGAGTATTTTCAAATATTCCTACATTAAAAAGTCAGTAATTAGATTTTTAACTATAATACTTCTGGTAATCAGTATTTTCAAATACTCTGGCTTACCTTAAGTAATGTGTACCTTCAGATCCACTGTGGGTATGTTTTTAAAATCCATTTGGCTGTGGGTTTCTTTAGTTCTGTGTTTATTTTTTCTGGGCTATTTAAATCTGTTTATTTTTTCAAAATTAATTTTTGTACATGTGTCAGAATAACCAGAGGTCATTAAATGACAAACAAAAATGATTCTAATAAAGTAACACAGACAACAAGAAATGTGATGCAATAATTTACATAATTACAATTTTGAACAGGTTGTTTACAGTAATCTGTAGCTTATAATATGTGATTTGAATAAACCCACATATGGACTTATTTAATTATTGTAGGTTGTTTTTTTAAAATGTGACTGGGGTATGGGTTTTGTTAGGGAAAAAGGATTATACAAAACTAAAGCATGTGTCAATATAGCAAATTGTCTATGAACTGGCAACACTGTGTAAGACCACTTGAAACAAGAAGAGACCTATTTTCAGTTACGCACCAAGTTATGGATGTGTGAACAAGTTCATGCATAGTCTTAGATTAGAATAAAGTTTAATTCTAAGTTAAAGGACTGCCTCATCATTGTTCTAACTATGGTAATGGACCCAGGAACAGAAAATTAAGTATCAAAGACTAAAATTACAGGAATTAAAAGAAAATAGAATTATGAAGCCTATAAAAGAAAAATGGCAAGTCAACTAGCTATATGAACAGAACCATTGTGTAAAGAAAACTTCGATACATGGAAAATACAGATGAAGGCACTCTTGATCTAAAACGATTCATGAAAATACATCAGTGGAAAAAGAAAGAAACCAGAAATTATACATGGAGATGAAAGTACAAAGATGGCAGCAGAACAATGGAACACAGCAGACTTGAAGGCAATGTGTGATATAATTCTCACCATAAGTCTAGTAAAATTAAAACAGACAAAAGGATAAACCTCACATGAAATATGGAATAAGCTACATGAAATTTTTGAATTGAAAGGTCCTGTGAGAAAGACCATGCTACTAAAGAAATGAATTATCAAAAAAACAAGAAGAAGACCACATGGCAGATAACATAAGAGACTTTTTTGATATAGTAGATAAGTTAAAAGAAATGGAAATCTCCATAAACAAAGAACTATTAACCATACTACTGCTATATAGTATACCGGATTTGTTCAAACAATTTTGAATTGCTATCGAAACAAGAGAAACTTCTTTTGCTGGACACACTCAAAACAAAACTAATAGAAGAGTGTGAGGCGAGAAGACAAAATGACAATACTGATGACTTAAAGAATTCAAGTGCGCTGTATATAAGCAAACAACAGATGAAACAATCAAAAAATAAGGGGCCATTCAAATTCAAATGCCATAACTAGAAAGATAGGCCATAACGCGAGATAATGCTGGGACAGAAAGAAGCGAAAACCACAGAGTTATAACTACAAGCCTAACAACACAAAAACAGGAGTCATATAATGCTAATATCATGGCAAATGAAAGAAGAGAAAACCGTAAATGGCATCTAGACTCAGGTGCTTCATCACACATGTGCAATGATAAAATCAAGATTTTCTAATGTTGAAACATCCCACATAAGTGAATTAAACTTGGCCAACTCATCTACAATGAAATTAAAGGAAGTGGTGATGTAATAATTGAAACAAATGGCAGATTTCAAGCCAAATTGGAGAACACACTCTTTGTACCAGAACTAAGGACCAATCTACTGTTGGTTGCGATGATAACTGATCATGGATTCAGTGTACTATTCCAGAAGAACCAGGCAACTATTATGGATCTGAAAACCAAAAGCATACACAAGCAAGCATTTAAAGGAGGGCTATACTATGTGAAAGAAAGGTAGGATGAATCTAAACTCTCTCAAACAATTGTTAACAAAATGAAAAGGTGGCACGAACATTTAGGTCACTTAAACGAAAGGGACGTATGGCACATGGCCAACAACATAAAGGTCAGAAGACTAAATATAAGATGAAAAGAAGAATTCAACCCATGAGATCAGCATAAGAGGGAA